TGTGTGTGTCCTGTGATGGACTGTCCCTGGTGTGAGTGTGTGTGTCCTGTGATGGACTGTCCCTGGTGTGTGTGTGTGTGTCCTGTGATGGACTGGGGTCCCGTCCAGGGTGTACCCTGCCTTGTGCCTGGTGCTTGCTGGGATAGACTCCCGCTCCCCCATGACCTGGAATTCACCTTGGAAGGAGCAGCTGGACACTGGGTGGATGGAAATCCTCTTGGTGGCAAATGTCCATCCTGCAGGAATCCTGTTCCTGGATATTTTAGTGTGATCTTGCTGTATTTATTGATCAGTATTATAACGAGTAGTGAAGGCACCGTTCTGTTATTAATCCTGCGTTTTTGATATATAAAAGAACTCCTCTTTGTGGAAAACATCTATCTCCTTGGAAATACACAGGGTCAGGTCATGAAACTCCCAGTCTCCTCCTGGGGAAGACTAAGGCAGTAGCTGAGCGTTTCAGGTTCCGATGTACCAGTGGCCCAGAGTTTGTGAGACCCTGCTCCTTTTTCGTGTTTTGTGTTTGATCTTGTAACACACGACGCAGCGCCACAAAAACCAAAAAAAACGAGTCACACAAGTAGATGTCCATACCCACTGTCAGAGGGAGTGGGCGCCCTGTGTTATTCGGGGTGTTTTAAATCATACTGCTTCGCTGTGAAGTAAATTCTGGACTTGTTTAGGTTACAGTGCGCTGAGCCAGACCCGTGAGAGACGGTTGTCCAGAAGTGTCCCCTTCCACCCGAATTCAGTCTCGCAAAAGGGAGGGGCATCCTACCGAGAAGCAATTAAAATCCAGCAAACCCATCCCGTTTCTAACCTCTTCTTCCGGGACAGGGTCGCGGGGGGAAGCCGGAGTCTATCCCAGGGAGCAACAGGCGCAAGGCAGGGTACGCCCTGGACAGGACGCCAGTCTGTCACAGGGCACACACACTAAACACCAGGGCCACTTTTCCCAGAACCCAGTTAACCTCCCCCGCATGGAGAAAACCAGAACAGCTGGAGAAAAAGCTCAATAACCCAGAGGGAACATGCAAACTCCACACAGACAGGTCTGGAATTGAACCCGGGGACCCAGCGCTGTGAGGCAGCGATGCTGACGGGGCCACTATGCTGGTGCGACAGAGGGGATTAGTTCCAGTACTCTTGTGCTGCTTTGCTGATGCCTTCCCAGCTGGTATCTGCAGCTCGTTGAGCTGGGTATAGTGGGGGAGGCTGGCCAGAAGTGTCCACTCTGGAAGAGGGACACGAAGAACAGGGCGCCAGATTCCAGGAGGGGATCCTGCAAATCCTGCTTCTCGTGTTGGCGACCTTCGGTAAAGTCAGCCTTCTAGACTGTCAGGAGGATGGGGCTGGGGGGGGGTGTCGACTGGGATGTCTGGCATGCCCCAGGAAAGGTCAAGAGGTGAAAAGGTGACCCGCTGGTAAAGGTCGTGTCTCCGATTTCAAGCGCATTGCTCGAGAGCCGTTTGGAAACCATCTACTGTATGACGCCAGACAATAACTCCGGTGGGGGATTTTTACAGGACCTTCGGCAGCCTGGGCTGCACAAACGCGAGCCCGAATGGGAGTCGGACAGACCCGTGTATTCTTGGGCCTCAAGTACCTCGCTGGGAAGCCAGTTCCAGACACCCGCTGCTCTTTGTGTAAAGGAGCTGTTCCTGTTCCCCAGAGACCAGGGATCATTCTTCCTGTGAATTCTTTTAGTAACGCTTTATGTGAATGTTGCTGCATAGTGACCCCTGAATGCAGCCCTGGCCCCCGGGGAGCCCCAATCCAATTAGTCTTATAGGTCACCCCGAATCAAGGGTACCCAACTCTTGTCCTGGGGAACCCCAGATCCAGTTATTCTTTGAGGTCACCCAGAATCAGGGGGCCCCTAACATTTATTCTGGGCAGGCCCAAATCCAGTTATCCTTAGAGGTCCCCCCGAATCGGGGGGGTCCCCAGCCCTGAATGTGTATTGTACCCCAATGTTTCCGTGGATGTGAATGCCCCAGTTTCCGCTGTGCACTCTGCTGAGGGGGACAGCGAGGTTCAGTTCAGCTCAGTGTGTTGTCATTATTGTACAAGAGAGAGCGGAGTTCTCGTTTCTCCTGGGCCGAGGTGCACAGACCGCTGGGGCAGTCCGCACAGCGTCACAGCGCAACGCCGAGAATCGCTCGCCGCTGCTGGGGAAGTGTGGGTCTACAAGTCCAAATAAAACCGTGCCACCAGCAGATAAATAGATCAATCAGGGAATAAATGCGAATGTGCAGTAGTGTAAGTAGGAATGTGCAAATAAACATTCGGAAATACAGGGGTGGGGAGGAGACTAGTGCAGACAATAGTGCAGGACGTGGTGATCACGAGCAGTGTGCACAGCCTGCTCCTCGTGCTCAGAGTCCTGTGTCCTGTGTGCCTCCTGTCCCCCCCCGCCCCTTGCCTGGACACCTGCCCAGCCCGTGACTCGCCCTCCCCTCTCTTCCTAATCCCCCCCTGCCCCGGGCAGATTCAATTTTATTGCCCCGCGCAGGGGCAGTTGCGAGGGGTCATTATTGCAGCCGGCACACGGGATGCCTGGAGTTCCTGGCGGGCATTGTGACCTTTGCAGACGCGCCCCCCCCCCCGCTCCCCACAAATCTCCCCCTCTGGTCCTATTAATACCCCGAGTCAAGTGACAGGGTTATCCAAGCTGCCCCCTGCCTGTTGCCGGGCCCGGGGCAGCGGGGCAGCAGGGCTGGAGGGGTCAGGGCGAGCCCGAAATGTCAGAGTTCACCCGCCGAGGGGCCGAAGGGAGCTTAGATGTCCTGGCTGCAGGAGGGATCTGGCCGGGTGGGGAGGGCAGGGCCGCTGGATAATCGCCGAGCTTGTCAGAGCAAGAGCTCCCGATTCCTCCAGGCCGTCTTGTAGCTTGTCAGCCCGGCGGACGTGTT